TCAGGTTGTTCTCATGCTTGCTCAGGTGAGAAGTGCTGAGGTGGAGATCACAGGAAGAACTAGAAGGAAAGCAGTTCTGTTCAGGGAAAGGTGATGAATCGGGGCATGAAGGTGTTGAGTTCGAGATGTCTGTGGGAATGCATGGACAGAACTATCGACGTGGGGTCCCAGCATCTCCTAGGAGCTTGTGACGGTGCAGGATCAAAGGCTCACCCAAATCAGGAGCTGTATCTGGACTGGATTCCTAGGGGATCTGTGGGGGAAGCAGACCGGTCTAGAGGTCAGTGGGGGCGTGTGGCTGATGCTCAGGAGCGGGGGCTGGGTGTGGTCAGGCAGAGGTGATGGCTGTAGCTGCCGTATTCCAGGGGACGTGTGTAGAGTCGGGGAGAGGGAGCCTAGCTGTGGCGTCTTTGCTTGATGCACCACACTGACTGGTCAGGACGAGCATCATAAAACTGCACATCACACATGACAAGCCCCGGGATGGCAGCCAGACTGTTGTAAGGAAAGTATTTTATGTGCTTGTTGTCCTTTCCAAAATGCTATTTGCAGCCATTATCTCAGAAACAACAATTTCCCCGGGACCCAGAATAGGTCATTGGAAGAACTGGGACCGGAACCTGGTGTCAGAGCCCTTACTGTCCAGTTCTCGTCATGGAGCCACGCATGGGGGGTGGGGGTGGCTCTGCATTTACTTATGTTGTCAGGGCTGGAAAAGTAGACAAGCAGAGAAAACATCACATGCTCAGTAGATGCTCAGAGAAGTTGCCCAATAAAGTTTTATAAAGGCTGTTGGAACAAATTATGGAAAACAAATGATAAAAACTGCTCTCAGATTCAATAAATGCATTCCTGCTGGTAATCTCAATTTGATCTTTAAACATCATTAGAAGTAGATAAGATGGGGAGTGTTCATGCTCTAATTAAAAAAAATAGTAACAGCTTTATTGAGATATAACAGACGTACCATGAAATCCACCATTGAAAGCATCTAATTCAGTGGTTTTAGTACATCCACCAGGTAGTGCAACCATCACTGCTGTCTCATCACAGAAATTCCATCACCCCAAAAGAAACCCTGCACCCTTCAGCAGCCAGCCGCCCCCTGCTTCCCTGCGCCCGGCCCCTGCGACCGCTAGCCTGCCTGCTCTCTCCACGGACCCGCCTCTTCTGGACACTTCCTGTCAATGGAATCATACAGCATGTGGCCTTTTGTGTTTGACTACTTCCACTTAGACTGTTTTGAGGTTCATCTGTGTTGTCGTAAATAGCAGTACTTCATCCCTTTAGGGCTGAATAATAATCCATTCTTTGGATATTCTATGTTTTGTTTATTCCTTCATCAGTTGATCGGTATTTGGGTGGTTTCCATCTCTGAGCTATTATGAATAAAGCCATTATGAACATTCATGGCAAGTTTTTGTGTGGACATATGTTTTCATTGCCAGGTCATATGGTAATGCTACATTTAGCTTTCTGAGGCACTGCCAGATAGTTTTCCAAAGTGACTGCATCATTTTACATTCCCACCAGGAATGTGTGATAGTTCCAGTTTCTCTGCATTCTCTCCAACACTTGTTATTATCTGTCCTATTTATTATAGACATCCTACTGGGCATCCTCTCATTTTATAGGTAAGAAAACTGAGTGTACATTATTTGCCAAGGTTCCTAGAGCTAGTAAGTGGCCAAGCTAGAACTTTCTGTTTTTTCAAGTGAATACTTGGATAATGCATGCTCTGTGCTAGGCATTATTTAAGTCTTTTGCTCTTAAGTCATCTAGTCTTTAGAACAAACTCTAAGGAAGGCGCTATTATCATTATTTGTAAATGCATTTAGGGCCAGCACTGGGCCCAGAGTGAGGCCCTTGGGCCCAACATTTAAGGAGGCATTGCTCTCAGGTTCCACCAGGACTTGCATGGCCCTGAGAGGGAGCGTCTTGGTAAGTGTGGCGTCCTCTGTGCTTCACTGGCTTCATTCAAATCCTGGCCCTGTTTCAAACGGAAGCATCGGAAGATGGAGTGACTTACCGAGAGTTTCATAAATAGTAAATGACAGAGCTGGGGTTCAAACCCAAGAAATCTAACTTCAGACTCAAGTCATTAACCACTAAGCTGTGCTAACACCCATGGCCTTGCTCTTCAAACTGGGTTTTTTCCCGTTCTCTCTCAAAGCCTAACTTTCCAAAATTAGCCAGAGCTTTGACAAGTAGGGAATCCAACATAAAATCCCAGAGATGGGTTATGAGGAGAATAAGCAGAAGCAGTGGACCTCACGGCTCCCCCTCCCAGGCATCTACAGCAGGAGCCCCCGGAAGGGTTAACTGGACACATAGTTTCCCTTGGCCACATCTGTGCTTATTATCCCAGCTCTGCATGAATCTGCCCAGTTTGTGTAGGCCACCCTGCAAGTGGCCAGATGGACTCTGTCCTGGTGGGAAGAGGCCATTCTGCGCCGTCAGAATGATTAGCTCTGACCACTGTAAGGAAAACACACGTTCTCTTGGCCAAGTGGGGATGAATCTGCTGCTTGTCAAAGTGCTCTGAGTTAGATACTCAGAAATCCCGGCTCTCCTAGCCACACCCTGAGATTGGCTGCTCATTCTCTTTAGTCTGTTCAGAATTAGCTGGTCATTTGCTTGCACATCACCATCTTTCCAGTGGTATTGCTGTTTGTGGGGGTTTTGAACGGTTCTCTGGTTTAGGCAGCCTCCCATAAGGCAGTGTGAATACAAAAATGTACATTTGCATGTGGACACGTTACCCCCTCAGGCATGCTGGGCAGCCTTTGCAAAGAGGCCTGCACAAGCCCTCATCCTCTTCTGCTCCCCAAGAGGAAAATCTAGTCACTGGGTGAGCTGTAGCGGCGCAGCCTGGCCCAGACCCAGCAGATTTTTGCATGTCACAAACTCAGAGGTTTTAAAAAAAAATTTTTTTATAGCTACATTTCTCCATTAAAAATGGTGAAATTTGTTGTTGAATTCTCACCCTTTTGTTTGGAATTCCAATTCCGTTCTCTGACTGTCCCTCAAAGCAGTCTCTGGACCAGCAGGACCAGCCTCACCACGGAACTTGTTGGAAATGCAGATCTCAGGCCCCACCCTGGACCTCTTGAAACAGAATCTGCCTCTTAACAAGAATCCCTGGATGGCTCCTGTTCCCATTCAAGTTTGAGAGGCACTACTCCCTCCGCACATCCTCATGTCTGTTACCTTCAGCTAGGGTCTCCGCCCAGTACTTACTCTGAGGCCAGAATTTTTGGTAGGTTTTTCAGATCTTTAAAAAAAAAAAAGGCACACACAGAAATTCTTTCCTTTGCGTTTGCATGATGTCATTCATTTTACCTGGCCTGCCACAAGAAAGAAAAGGCAAATTGCTTCCAAGTTTTATGTATTTTCAAGACTGACTTCTTAATTGCATCTCCCTAAAGCAGCACACTGGATCTCCTGTCATTAACAGAGTCCCAAGTGTTGCCAAGATTGAGAAATGCCTAAAGGCAAAATAAACACTCTAGTATAGTTTAATTCAAAACCATATCAGCTAAGAAGGAAGGTGCAATTAGTGATAAAGATGTTAATGATTAGTTACGGTCTGTTAAATTTTTTATTCAGTGGTCATATAGAGTGAAGAAAGAATTTCCTCATAAGGGCAGAAATTAATGTTTCACCTTGATTGTTATTTTAATGTGCTTGTTTTAATGGGGCCATCCTGCGGGAACCCTTGGGCACATTTCCAATTTTACTTAAATGCAGAATTCATTATTATGGAAGCATATAATGTTAAAGCTGGGATGACCTTTGCAGACATTTAATCCAGTTCAGTAATTTTACAAATAAGTAAGAGTTAGAGGACTCACTTAAGTCCTTCTGCACAGTCCTGGAACCTTGCTGCCCAGCTCTCAGACTCGTGATGGTGAAACCTTCACACATCCCTTCAAACAGAAGTGCTTTCAGAATTCGCAACCATCATTTGCTGTACTGCTTCCCAGGCCCTTGCCCACCTTGCGTTATGTTCTAGTTGCTTTCAGTTGTAAGGCTGGAGTCTTTGGGAACCATTTCTGATTCACTCTTTTATTTCTTCACCATTCCTTGTTCTGTAGTTTGCACACAGTAGTTGCACAATGAATTCTCATGCAGTGGGTGTGCTGGGGCTGATTTTCCCTGCTCAGTAAGTTGATTGTGTCTTCATATTGGTAGCTTGAAATTGGCCATAGTGGGAGTGTTCACACCATGGACACAGACAAGTCCTATAGATAAGGGCTTTTCTCCTCCTGGGAAGCCAGTTATTAAACATTTTCCAGCACACCGCTGTTGACATGTTTATCTTAAGGTCTCACAAGGCAACAGGCCTTGACAAAGTCTAAGATCCGTACCAACATGAAGGTGACCATTTACCCACTGTCCAGCTTGGGTTCCCTTCAGAGTGATGGAGCAGCCAGCATTCAACCTCCTCTAGTTCCTTCAGGGATTAAGTCAGGCCTCAGGACTGCACTGCAATGTGATTGCTCAGCCAGGTTCTACTTACCTGGAAAAGCTGTTTGGGCGTGCATGACAGTGGAAAGGGTCTGAAATATCAGGCACAGCTGAGTTGGGAAAAAACCACGAATTATTATCAGAAAAAAAAGGAACTTACTATGGCCAAAATTACAATTATATCTTTATGTCTCCAAAACCTTCGGTGGCTCCATACAACCTACAAGCATGTCCAAACTGCCTGCCATAAGTCACCTCCTAACCACAGCCCACGTCAGTTTCAACCACTCTCATCACCACTGATGATTCCCACTCTCCATTCTACTTTCCAGCCTTTGTAGAGCTTCTGCTCCAGCCTCTACGAATCCCTTTCTCCTGGAAGTCCCGCCTGCTACCTCCCTGCGCTGCCACAGGCTCTCTCCCCAGCCCCTGCCCCTACCCAAGCCCGTCCCTCCACCATGGACTAGAGCTTCTGGGTTAACATGAGCATTCCTGTGACTGTTCAGCTCCTCTCTGGTGTCTCTCTTTAGGAGCAAGACCCGAGGTCCCATTGGGCCTGGCAAGTATGGCTATGGCAAGGCCCCGTACATCTTACCACTGCAGACGGACTCTGCGCACTCGCCACAGAGGCTTCGGAGACAGAGGCCCTCGTCCCAGCATTCCAGGTCCCAGGGGGCGTCTGGTCCTAGCCATGGCTACAGTCTGCCAGCCCACCGGGGCCCTCAGCATGAGCCTCTGCACCAGAGTGACAGCAGCCCTCATTCTGGACTGCAGGCGTCTGAGACCTCTGCCTACCAGCTGCCTTTGACCCACGACCAAGGCTTTCCTGCAACTTCAAGCCTCTTCCACAGCCCAGAAACAAGCAGCAGCCATGGCATGGGGGCCCAGAGGGCGGCCCAGAGCTTCTCCCAGCCTGCCCGGTCTACCGCCATCTCCTGCATCGGGGCCTACCGGCAGTATAAACTCTGCAACACCAATGTGAGTACGCGCCGCCCACCCCCAGCCTGGAAGGTGCTCCTCCACCCTGTTGGCTGGGAGTGAACGTGTGGAAGACAGGAAGGCCATGGTTTTTTAGGCCATGTTAATGTACCTTTTGCCTTCCCTCCCTCTCTTTTCTCTGCATGTCTTCTCACCATATATTTTCTTTTTCATAAGGTTATTACTTTAGTTAACTTAAGAATAACTCCTTAAATCACTATTGACAGCCATCATTGCTGCATATCAAACAACCCCCAAATTCTCAGTGACTTTCCACCAACATTATTTATTCTTTGTTTACAGGTCTGTGGGTCAAAGTGCAATTTGGTTAATGTAGGGCAACCAGTGGTGATGCCAAAGAAGTAGAAGTTTTGGGGGGTTTAATGAGGATCAGTATCATCCAGGAACTTTCCTGGAGGTTCCCTGCTAGTCCAGGAATAAGCACTTTCAGTTTGTGTCATGGGAAAGTTTGATAGTGAATAGCTTCCTCATTAAAAATATATAATATAGTTCCTGCTATAGAGTCCATAGAAATGACTTAATATGTGATTTTAATAATTCCTCTGAATGCCTGGATTGCTTTTTAGCCTGTTCTTCCATGACAGACTTCAGGAATTAGTAAGTTTTGCAACACAGTAATACTAAAGCCATTAGTGGTCAGTCAGCCAGTGAGTCTTAATTGAACATCATTGCTTATCTTGTAAGGGACCAGGCTCCATGGGAGATCAGAAGAGTCGTATTATCTACCATGTAGAGTTGTCTTGGGGATCACATGAGGTGATGTAAAGGAAACATTTTATAATCAAAAAAGGAATACTTGTGTCCATGAGCAGACAGGTCCCTGTTTTTGAGAACCATTGCTATCCCTTAAAATAAAACGAATTCACTTCTAATGTAGGACACACTCTCCCATTTACTAGTATGTTTTTAATTTTGAAGACCAAGCCAACCATAAAGAGAAGGGAAAAAGGAGGGGGCACTTGGCATCTATGGGGGGCCTGACATCTACTTAGCATTTCTTTCATTTAACCTACATTTTTTAAAGCATGTACTTTCTGCCAGACCTCTGCTGCCAGCAAGGGGCTGCCTCTCCCGTGTACTCTCGCCACAGATCCCTGGGTGCTGGGGTGACTCCACTACTCATGAGACTGAATTGCAAGGAATCTTAGAAAATTCTTGTGAATTCATGATGTCTGCTGTCATGTTGGAGGTTGGCAAAATAACGTCTCAAACCAAGGACCAAGGAACAAATGGACACAAAGGATTGTACAGGTTTCGTACCTTCTCTTGGCTGTAACATTTTGCATGGCGTCTTCCTCCGTGCACCCCTCATTCTGAGTCACATTCCTCCTACCCTTATTGAGAGATGTCATTCCCTAGGAGTCCCCTTGCTGCATCTCTTCTTCTTATAAGCCCATGGTTTCTTGTGACTTGGACCGTACTCCATAAACACTTTAACGCTCCCTGTGTTATGGGTCTGTACGACCTAGGTTTGGTGATTTGCTGGGAGGACACACAGGACGCAGCACATAGTTGGACGCAGTCACGGTTTATTTCAATGAAAGAATACAAAGCAGGAACCGCAAGCAGAAAGGCTCGTGGGGCAAAGGCCAGAGGAAATCAGGCAAACGCTACCCAGAGTCCTTTAGCAGTAGAGTTGCATAGGACACACTTAATTTCCCCAGCAATGAATTGTTCCAACACCTGTGAAGTATTGTCAACCACGGAAGCTCATTAGAGACTGTGCCCGTGGTTTTCATTAGGGGTAGCTGTGTAGTCATTTTCTGCCTGCCACATGCCAAAACCCCAGACTCCCAGGAGGAAAGCCGGTGTTCTGCATAAACTGTATTACTTGTACAAATAGTTTGGGCCTTGCGAGTCACTCTTATCAGGGACTGATGGCAACCCTTCTGAAACCCAAGTTCCCAGGTGCCAGCCAGAGACCAGTTGTGCAAGCACGCCTTTCTGGGGAGAGCGTCTCAGTCCTGCTGCACTCAGTCTTATTTGCACGCTCCCTGTGTGCACTCATGTGCTCTAGCATCTGAGCACCTATGATCTTAGGTAGATATTTATATATCCTCCTCAGTGTCCAACATGCAGAGATGGAATGAGTCCCCAAATTATGTAAATCCTACTCTAAGAGGAACGAGGTAAAGGACAGAATGTATAATATCTTACTAATCTATCAAGAAATGCAGGTTATCATTATGTCCTCTCCAAAGATTAAAAAATAATGTATGCATTTAGAGAGCTCTCCACATTTATTATCTGGGAGAAGAAAAACCAGGGCAAGGAGGCCAGGGTAGGTTGGAAATAGCCGCTGATGTATCATAAGTCCATTCCTTAAACTGGGTGCTCAGCGCATCCCACTGCAGTTCTTGATGGCACATCTCCTTGCTAACACTGCGCCACCCTAGAGGGCTCAGTTCTGCGATCCTCCCTTGACGCCCTTATGCTCCAGTGGCAGAGAAGGTGCCAGCTGCGGCTGTTTGTGAGCCACTGCACCTGGTGCTGGAGCACTCAGTGAGGGGAAGGAAGTCTGAGAGCACAGAGCAGGAGGCCACAGGGCTGGGGAAGACTCCCCCGAGGAGGGGACAGGCGAGCTGGGCTTCCACAGAGGGCCGAAAAAGAGAAAAGAGCATTTGGGGGCAAAATAAGCAGTTTAGTCAAAGACAGCAAGGCAGGATTGGGTCAGACAGAATCATGGGTGCTGGGATGCCTGCCTGGTGGTAGGGACCCTCCTTCTTTGCCCACCCGCCTCCTCCAGCCACTTTAAATAATCACAATCTTAATGAGGATTTTTTTCTTTAACATGTTAAAATACAGAAATGCCACATGGGCCTTGTTTGACCTTCATACATGAGGTAGGTGGGTGAGAAACTTAAAAACACAGTGCAGGGTCAGAAAGCAAATCTGATCATCTGGTTTAATTGGTGTTGGGCCTACAAGGCAGTGTGGGGTAGTGGGCTTGGAAGCGAAGCTGGGCTGGGTACAGACCCCTGTATCTTCAGGCAAGTTACTTAACTCTCTGGGGGCCACCTATAAAGTGGAGCTAATAATAATACCTACTCCCCAGCATCGGGGGTGGCGTGAGGTTCAGGTGAGATCACATATATAAGGAACTCGGCAGGGAGTGGACGCATCGTTAGCAGGTAAACGCTTTTGGCCTGGATAAGTGAACGTGGCTTACGTGCCTCTCTGTAGATAGGAACAGACTAAAGTCTCCTCATATTTGAACGGCTTCCAATTTAAAAGTGTTAAGTCATGAAATTGTGGGTGACGTGGTCAGACCTGCTCAGAGTCCACTTTTGTACCCTGAGGGTTAACCATGCTTTGCCCAACAATACAATGGAAGCTCGCTGAGACCCAACCTTTAAGTTGTGATGTGCCTTCAGTGTAACCATCCTGGGGTCGTGTTTAAAGTGATGAAAGTGAAATTATAGGTAACTTCATGCCTGTGAATTTACCCCTTCCAACGTGCATATTTGAAAAGAAGCCCTAACGTACGATGTCATCTAGGAATTGTTTGGAGTCTAGTGTGTCTTTAGGATTTTCATTCATATAAGACATCCTTTATGAAATGCTGCATAATCAATAATAAATGCAGCACTAATGAACTCTGAATGTAGACTTTAAAGATAAGGCAGGGTTTTTTTCTTGCTTACAACGTATACGGGGAAGTTAAAGTTACAAACCCCAGTATAAATAAATAGAGAACCTATGGTTTTTTTAGGGTGGACATCAGTCTTAGATGCTGTCTCACTATTGTGGGTTCTTGCTTGGAGTCTACAAGCACAGCATTGACACTGACAGTGGGATCACATGTTGGGCTGGGGGTCAAGGACACTGAGATTAGAGCAAGCTCTGGCTCTAAGTGGCCTGGGGGAGAGAAAGACTCATAAATAACTACTAACAGGTGCAGAGAACAGGCAGCACTTTGAAATCCTGGGACAGGGGAAATTAACCTGGGGTGGGTGGAGTCAGCAAAGACCTCCCAGAGAAATGCAGGCAGGCAGCCGGCTGTCCAGGAAGGGGCAGGTTTTCTAGGTGGAGGAGTATAGGGGTCCTGGAGCCCCTCTGCACTCCCATAAGGGCTGAGGAGGGAGACCAGGTGCCCCAGGGGCCTCTAGGTGGAATCAGGTGTTCTCAGTGAGCACTGGCTTCACCTGCAGGTATGTCCTCAGTAGTTAAGGGACCACACCCGGAGGTACCCAGGGCTTAGGCACACGCTCACTTTCTCAGCTGTAAATAGATTACCGAACAAGAAAGCGTATGCCCTTTGTCCTGGAGGCCTGAGCGCTCTAAGGTCAGCGTTCTCTCCTTCCCTTGAGGGGAGACTGACACCTGGCTCCTCCTCCTGGGGAAGGGGGGCTGTGGTGAATCAGCTGGTGCAAGGCGGGGACTAGGTTATGAGTCTTTAAAGGGCTTTGCTGCCAAAGGAGGTGTGATCCTGAGTTTAGACAGAGTGCACTTCATATTATGGGGAAAAACTCCTGGGGCTGAAGGCAGCTTTTAGCAAAGGCAGATGTGATGAGTTCTGGTATCAGTGACCCTCCAGTAAATTTCCCTGGGGTGGGACTGGCTTCCGACAATGGATTTATCCTTGTGAAGCTGTTTCTGTCTGAGTGAGTGAAAATGAAGGGAAGATATCAGATAAATCTCAAATATAACTAAGCTGTTGTTAGGCAGATTCTAATTCTACCCCATTCCTGGTCTGACACCGAATGAAAGAGGAGCTGACAAACAACTTCCTGACGGAGGAGCTTAGGAAAGAGGCCAGGCCAAGAACTCAATGCAGCTCTGGAAGATGGAGGCTCTCCAGGGGCTGTGGGGCCAGGTACTGGGTGGACGGACAGGCCATCTAACTGGGGGGCTCAATGTGTTTCCCTTATCATGAGCTCATCACTTTATAACCTCATGTCTGGGAAATACATGCTAGTGTCATGCTTTCTGCATCATTGCGCTTTCCATATTCTCAGACAGCTTGGAATTTTCCATAG